ACCATTCTGTGATTCTATAATGTAACATTCTGGATCATCTTGCACTACAAACAGCAACATTCCTAAGAGAAAGCGCTTTCTTTTCAACTTACCATCGGTAGAAATTCAGCAGTTTAGCTGGGACATTTCTGTAAGTGTCAATCACATCTACAAAAACAATATCGTCATAGGTACTGCTTTCTTCCTTTAGCAGGTCATCTTCTTTTTCAAGATTTTTTATGTGACTTGTAAACCTTTCTGGGCGAGTATGGAGGCTTTTTAAAAGAGCATCACCTTCTGAAAGAAGCAGCACCCATCATTAAACAAAGACACGTTACCTACATGCTATTTCACGTTTTTCTCTTGAATAATACGTGACATACTGACAACAGGAATCTGAAGAAGTGTTTAACTCAATGGGGTTATGAGAATCCCACAGTTAGTTTTAAAGTTTCTTTTAGGTGTTACAAGTTGCATAACAGAAATATATTTTTGCCTAAGGTCTGATACAGATTACGCAAAGTTTAAAGTAAAAAGCATTCTCTTCCTTTTCAGTAATAGAAGCATCCAACTTCTTAAGGTTCTTTATATTAAGGACCTGTCCAGGACTTCACTACTACTCTTACCAGTAGAGTAAAAAGGCTACTGTTGTATCAGTTACTCCCAAGTATAGATATGTAGCAGTGAAAAATAAACACCCACACAAACAAAAAAATCCTGCACTAAGTGCAATCAAACTGGCATTGCGTTGTTGTAGCACAGGTAGTCCCTGCGGAATTTTATCACATAACTGGCTGTAGATAAAAGCTAAAAAGGTATCGCAAGAACACCGAACTGCTTGGTAAGAGATGGGTTGTGATACGGAAGAACTTCCTGACCCACAGGATGGAAGGACTTTAGCAGAGCTCAGTTTAGGCTCCTACACAGATGACGGGAAAACAGGACTGTCCCATTTCTGTCTGCCAGGCCTAACTACAAACACCCAGGAATGAAAGTCACTGCTCACGTTGACTATGATGGACCCGTAAGAATACATCGATGCATAGCGCCATGTGGCCGAAATCTCAGACACTGGAAAGGACTCCTACAAGAGTCTGAACATCCCGCTGAGAGAGGTGTAAACCAACAAAACAGAGGTGGAAAAGCAGGCTGTGTTAGGTGATCACTGTTTGTCAGTAGTTACGATTAAACATTACGACACAGTACATCTAAAAGTAGCAGGACGGGAAAATATGTAAAAATCATCAGGGAAAGATTTCTTGAGGACCACAGTGCACAACACTTATAACTCACATTTGGGTAACAAAAATCAAGGATAGATAAAAATGGGATTCCTCTTAATAAAAAGACAAGGTCAGTTGGAGTCACTGACCAGGAACGAGCAAAGAAGCCATATCAGGACATTGTCAGGCATAACAAAACCAGAAAGAAATTAATTGTTTCTACTAAAAAGAAAACTTAAGTTGATCAAGTTCATAAAGATAGTACAATTTTTACTTTAGAAATGTAATTTAAAATTTCCTGTTTTATCATAACATCAAACATGTCGCTATAGTTTGCAGCCTTACCTTGAATAGTGTAGATAAAACCACCTGCAATTCCCTCCACCCCTTCTGTGAGTTCGTGTGGCAGCGAGCCTTCCCCTGCCTGCGGGAGACAGATTAATGGAAAGAAATAAATTAGTTCATCTCTCAGTACTGATGTGTTTTTCCCTGTGATTTTAAGTTTTTTAGCAACTGAGAATTAAATTAATTTAAAGCTCTTCATATCATCACAGAATGGTTTGGGTTGGAGGGGACCTTAAAGACCATCTAGTTCCAACCCCCCTGCCATGGGCAGGGACACCTTCCACTAGACCAGGTTGCTCAAAGCCTCGTCCAGCCTGGCCTTGAACACTTCCAGGGATGGGTTAAGGTACCTACACAATGAAAGCGTAGGATTTTTTAACTGTATAGTTTTGTGGCGTTTTTTTTTAAGTTTCACCTAAAAACACTGACACTTTTAGAAAAATACTTTTGAAGTTGAGAGCAAACTATAAAGTTAATCTGGCTGAATTACAACAGCACAGCGTGTTTAAGCACGCAGCATTTTGACAGGGGAAGAGACACACTGCCAAAAAGCAAAAAAAAAAAAAAGCTTAATCCCATTGATTGGGATTTTAGCACAGGATTTTTGAGCCACATTTTGCCACCTCTGATATACTGATACTGCTTCACACCTGACAAAGACAATAGGTGAACTTTACTCCCTTCAAAATAAAAGAAAAACGCCACTTACTAGCATCACTTCTTGCATGCCCTTGTCCTTTTCCCAGGCAAAGCAAATCTTCCCCGCTGAGACAGCAGGAGAAACCCAACTGAATTAACGATTTACAGAGAAACACAGGAAAGCAAAGTGCTAAATACCCAAGACATAGGAAAAAAAGAAACATGGTGGAAGGGAGGGAGAGGTGACTCACTGTAATGATTCTGAGAACACCCCCTCCATCATTCACTGTCACTTTATGGAGGTTTCTGGAAACAAGGCCCTGAAGATCCTGGCTTTCCCACACAATGGTACCTTCAAAACTCTGGTAAGAGAGCAAAACACTGTTATTCAGTTATTCAAAGACTTAAAAGAATGAAAATCAAACAGTTTGGGGTTCTTTATTTTAAAACAGCCAACTTCACGCAACACGTAACTTGAATGCACAACACGATGTTTTACTTACGTTTCAGTAAAAGAAAGTTACTCAGAAAAGAAATAATGTCTGTGAAACGCAGTAACACGTAATCGTGCTTTTAAGACTGATCATGGGTCTCTACATTAGGAACATTCAACTTTTAACAGAAGACTGGCATAAAAGGCTTTGGCTTTCTAACAGCATTAAGATGGCATTTAAAGGTCACCTGAAATGAATTTTTTTTTTTTTTTTTAAAAAAACATACCATAAATCCTGCCTTACAAAGAGAATACGTTAAAACAGACTTGGAAATAAGAGCTGCTGTTTAGTGCTAATCTCTGCCAAAACCAGAGATCAGAGACTCAACCCTGACATCAGCAACAGTCAAAGGAAAAATACAGCCACCTTCATCCTGGCAAAGCTGTCACAAGCTACTGCAGGAGAGTCCCAGAACTCTGAACATCTCTGAACACAGCACATCTTGGCTGGTAGGAAAAGCAGGAGTGAGCATCTTTACCATGTTCTGGCTTTAACTGTCCATTTAAGTTATGTCACTCCAGGATTTTTATGTGTGTGCCTGTCTGTAAACTCAGGCACTGAAAAGCATTTAATCTTATCTTGAAACTACTCCACCTAACAGTCCAACTATTGCCCATTTTATAAAAGACCTTCCTGAAGACCCCTGAGAACATGCAAAGGTACTTTGTACAGGTAAGAGTGCTGGTAGTACCATGGTTTTTTTTATTTTTTAAAGCAATCTCACCCCTATGACAAGGCAGTACAGAGTAGTTGTAGGGTTATTATACTCCTGACTGCTAGATCCGTTTTGTTTCCCCCAGTTTCATAGGGAAAACACAGGTAGCTAGTTTGGACCTCGGAAACAGCTTGGTTCAACTATTTGTAGATGCATCTCTGTTGCTGTAGAAAGTCTGTTTACTGGCACAGTAAGTGCAACTCTCAGCTCTTCCTCGCTTCAGGTTCCTTGTGCCCCAGAAACCTTATCCAGAAATTCTCCAGTTACCAACACACCATTAAGTCTAGTTTAGAGTTCAATTCCTTGCTTTCCTCTAGAGGTAGGTCTTAACAGCTACAGCAGCCTCAGTATTTAATGACAACTGTGTATTTCAGAAGCTTCCCATCTATCATTTGTAATGCCAGCTTTATAATCTAATCATGGAGCTAGTCAGTGTTTCTTCAGTCCTGGCTTGCACGCTCAGTACCTTCCCCTTGTTTCTTTAACTACCTGTCAGCTATCACAACAAACGGACCCCAACTAAAACACTTGTTAGTGGCACAGTGACCCCTGAACACCCTGCACGGTAAAACCCACATGCTCAATTTCTCTGTTTGCAGTGGCTGTCATCTCCCATTCCAACGGTTTTGGCTGTAGGGACCAGGTTGTAATCCCACTTCTGTGCCACTCTGCAGACACAACCTTTGGTGAGTTGGTTGTGAGCCCGACGGTCTTCACTCCCCAACAACCAAAACCCCTAAAACTCTCACCACTGACTGTTACCAATACTGACCTCAAACACGTACCAAGAGCCTTAATCAGTTACTACCAGCGAACCTCGGTGCAAGGGGTTCTAAAGCTGCAAACTGCCATTATTTTCCAGGTTGAGAGACTTGTAAGCAAATTTTCTAATGACTTTAGCCTTCAGCTGTTCTCACTCTAAGCCACTTAATGAGAGCTGAGGCCTGAAAATGCTTGAAGCAAGTCATTAGTGGCACACCTGAGACTGCATCATCTGGTTTTCCCCATTTAAATTCCAGCCTTGTTGCTGCCAGAGCACAGTGGCATTTACAGTGAATTCCGAACAGGTGTACCGACGTGCTGCAGCCCTGCCAAACTCCCTTCCTAGCGTTGAACAGTGCTGTGCTTTCTGCTCCTCCAGCTACTCCCCGTCAGCAGTACAGAGCACGCGTACCACGGAGTCCCATTTTCATGCAGGGAGGCCCGTGGCTTTTTGTCACAATGAGTGCACTGCTAAGCCCTGGCTGGAAGAATCAGCAGTACAGAGCACGCATACCACGGAGTCCCATTTTCATGCACTGCTAAGCCCTGGCTGGAAGATCCCCTGCCCGAGTTTAGGCTTTCTGCTAGTGGTTCTGCTCTTCTGCACAGTTTTAGTTGCTCCAAAGCTGTATGATCAACCCCATCTTTGACAATCTGGCCTGCCAGATGCTTTTTCGAATGCTGGATTTCCCTGCCTTTCCCCAAGACGAGCAGCAAGAGCAGTACTTCGGCTGGAAGATGAATGAAGCTCTTCAGCAGTCTGTGCAATCCACTGCAGTTGAAGGTGGAAAGGCAGAGAATAGATATTGCCTCAGGAACCATCTCGTGGCAGTTAAACAGTTCACTAAATTCGCTGCTCTCAAACAAGTAGGTAGGAACGCGTGGGCATTCTGTCTCCTCTGAATCATCTTGTACGGTTCAGC